GAAATTATTTTTAAGGCTAGTTCATAGGACAAGCTCAATGCATTAGCTTTTAAACAGAAATACGCCTCCCCATTCTTCTATACAGCATAGCACTTGTGAACATTTTTGAAATAAATAATATTCCTTGCCTTTAGTAAGGACAGGATTTGATTTCACAGTTTCCGGAGGAAAAAAGAAGCCCCTTTCAGGAGTTCTTCTGCATTTCAATTTGTCCCCGCAGTCAGGAAGAGCAGTGAACCCTGTGGGCTCCAGAGTTTCTAAATAAATTAAGTAGTATCAGTTTGACTCACAGACATAGTTACCTTCGTATGGGAAGCGTGCTGATTTTTATTATTTAAATTTAATTTTGTTGTGGAGGGGACAGTCCTTGGAGGCGGGGTTAGGATCCCAACGAAACGCCAGCGCGCTGCCCGGCCACTACTCGCCTTGAACGTGCAGCGTTATCTGAAAAGACTGCAATTCAAAGCCCATTAAATGTGTCACTCACTTTCTTTCCAAATGCACACCAACTGCAGGTGCAAAAGGCAGTGCAATGTCACTTCCACGTCCGGATAGGCTAAACCCTGGTCACGAGACCCGGAAGGCGCAAAGTGCGCCTTCCAACGCGTCCTTAGCAACCAGCCCCGACTCGGCGGCCCGCGGGGTGAGTAGCTAGCGCGACCCACTTCTGATTATTGGGGAGCACAGGTGGTTGCGACGTCCACAGGAGAACAGAAAGACTCACTTGTGAGCCATGCTCCTGTTTTTTCAGGGTTCCAGAGGTCTGACTGTTAGAAAATTTACAGTGCTCCTGTCATGGGCGGGTTCTACATACAGCTAGCGTCCTGCGTGTCACAGCTACTGGGGTCATTGGATACGGGAAGACTGTTGTTGGGGAGACCCAAGGGAGTGGGGAATGATTTTTATCGCTGTGAATGAGGACTATTTACTTTCCTCTGAACTCCCTTGTCCTGGGCCATTCCTAATTCAGAAGCTTTGCTTGCCGTGCTGGTCAGTTTTTTCGGTTTTCTGTAGTTGGGAACAACGCACTTTCTTGGGGACACATCTTAAAAAAATTTTTTTAAAGGCAAATCTCGCAGTGTCGTTCAAGGTAGCCTTGAGTTCGCTATGTAGCCCAGGTTGGCCTTGAACTCATGGCTACCCTCCTTGCCTTGGCCTCTGGAGTGCTGGGATTACAAGCTTGCACCACTATACTTGGCTTGGAGACATTCTTCTTGTACTTCGGAAGAGAAAGTTAAAAAATAGAGTACTGTGTGTGTGTGCTTGTGCGTGTGTGTGTGTGTGTGTGAATGAACTGAAAGTATTAAGAAGCAATGCAAGAGAAAGTCCAGATGATCAATTAGGAAAACTTTCTAGAAGAAGATAAGACGGAGGTAGGAGTCTCTTATTTACTCTATCTGCATTCTGCATGTCTGAATGGGTTCTTTCAGTGGTGTTGTTTGCCTTTTGCTCCTTAGGGTTATAGTCTAAATATTATATTCCTTAATGTATGTTACTTTTCCATCGGCTTAATATAATTTTAATATTATTTAGTTTTCAGAAATTGTCTTTTAAAATATACATTCCAAAATTTGTTTTAATTGGAATCTTAACAATGCACTGAGTTAATGTTAAAAACTTTTTTCTTAAAGTTATGCTTCTCTACCAGATTCCAGATGAACTGTCAAGACCCAAGTCAGCCTTGTTACAGCCCTTTCAGGAGCTAGAATATACCCCTTTAAAGTGTAAATATTCTTTGTTTTGAAATTCTACAACAATCTTAGGGTTCAAGGTGAAATCAGATTTTTATTTCATTAAAAACTATTCTGTGTGAAACATGATGACCTTTATCAATATATGTATTTGTATTAAACATTGCACTACTATCCAGAATCATTTATTATCATGACTAATTTGCAAAGTGTTCCTCTCTTGGACATTATTGTCCATCCAAAGCTCCCAGTATAGTGTTTGGTGACACTGTGCCCTTAATAAATAGCTTGGCATTCTCAATTAATTAACATTTTCTAAATGTGTCACATTATTCCAAGAGATGGTGTTTTAAAAGTTTGTGACCAGCAAGGCAATCAAGCTTCTAAATTAGGGATGGCCACAGACAGGGGAGTTCGGAGGGAAGTAAATGACCCCACATGTGGCAGTAAGAAAAATTTCCTCTTCTCCTGCTCAAGAAATTTGGGAAATCTACATGTCATGTAGATTCCCAATACACAAAGAGATACTACTGTCAAGTCTTACAATGTTCCAAACTGACCCGTGTCACTTTGTTGAATTCAAAGTTTCCCCAGTTTAGCATTTTATAACATGTATTTTTAAAGTAACTTCTTATCAAGAGATTGTATTCCACCATACATATTTTGGAAATTACTGTTCTGAAATCTATACTTTTTATTTTTGCTCTGTTTCAATAAAAGGAATTAGTTTCCTTGAAACATTTCTTATTGATGCAATAAAATGCCAAAGGAAATAAATCTTTTCAAGACAACTATATTAGTAAAATATTTTCTTTTTATTACTTTGAATTACATCAACAGTAATATAGTAAATTACCCCATCTTTATTGTTAGCATTACTAGTTTTTTACTGTACAATGTCAAGATTTTGATGGAACTATCGTTTTAGTATTATATCTACTGTGTAGCAGATGTTTTATAACTAGGGAATGGATAAATTTGAAAACTCCCTGATTTTCCTTTTAGAATGTCTTTCTGAAGAAGGCCAATTAAACAATTTTAATAGAAGTTTACCAGAAAAGTGGTAAGAACCTAAATTCCAGAAGTGGCTATTAAGTGATAAGAAATTTCTGACATAGAAGAAGTAGAATTTGTTTACTGATTGTTTGGGGAGTTACTGAGAGCTCCTGCTTGAAGACAGCAGTGTAGGCCATAGCCTGTGGATGGGTAACGTCAAGTCCTGACAGCTGCAAGAGTGAGGACAAAGACTCTTGATAAGTTTAACGTAGATTTTCAGAAAGATAAAGGACATCCTGGGATTGTATTTGAATGTGATTGAAGCAGGGATTTATTTTCTTAAGAAAAAACCCCCAAAAGTAGCAGCCTTTTCTGTGTTTACTCTCAGTGCAGCCAGTCTTTGTGTTTCACCGTTTTGCATGTGGTTTTACCTTCCTGATCTCTCCAGAAAGCCAGAGGATTACTTGATAGCATGCTTTATCTGTAGTTCAGGGAGGTGAGAGAAATTGGAAGGGACAGAGAAGGACACTGGTGACACTGTGCCCTAAGATAGTTTGGCATTTTCAATTAATTAACATTTTCTAAATGTGTCACACCATTCCAGGAGATGGTGTTTTGAAAGTTTGTCACCAGCAAGGCAATCAAGCTTCTAAATTAGGGATGACCACGGACAGGGGATTTCGGAGGGAAGTAAATGACCCCACATGTAGCAGCAAGAAAAATTTCCTCTTCTCCTGCTCAAGAAATTTGGTAAATCTACATGTCATGTAGATTCCCAATACACAAAGAGGTACTGTCAGGTCTTACAATGTTCCAAACTGACGGATGTCATGGTTGAATTTTGGGCTATTACAAGGATGGCAAACTTTAATGAATTCTCCATGAGACTTTAGTGAGAACTGTGGGTTTCAAAGGAAGTTTCAAAAGTAATGTTGTTTTTGGTCAAGAACACTGGTTTTCCAAACAAAATTAGTATTGCTTTAATGAAGCAGAAAAAAGTGAATATTGGACATGAAGTTAGAAATATCTGCTGCAAGCAGTGTAGATGGTAATGCAGACTGAAAAGCCTATGTGAACACAAGTAGCAGTTTGCTAATAATGAACATTTTATACAGATTTGAGATTTAAAATAAAATTCTTTCTTATGTGAACAGAAATAGCAGTTTGCTAATAATGA